ATCTCTTATTCAGAAGTGATAGTCAAAATGAGAATATGGAGTTGTCTCCATAGGTGGAAGTTATCTGTGTAAGATTAGAAAACTTAATGCAAGAAGCATGTCCAAAGCAATGTACTTTGAATATGAGACTTAGTTTCCATGGAGTTGATCTCCATTGGAATACCTTATAATGACTGTTGACAAGTCTTTGTGACTTTGTACATATTCGTTACAGGAGGGTCAGTGCATATAAGTTTAAAATCTAAACAGATTTCGATAAATGATAGGAATTTGAAATTCTCACATTTTTCGATAAGGATTTGGGAGTGTGAAATTAGAATCATTGAAATTATGTTCAATTGGTTTATTTCACAAAGTAAGGATCATAGACAAACATAGAGTGCATACTTGGTGTATGGCAAACTATTGTTTAAGAAAAACATAGTGTACATGCTTGGAGCATGGGACAACTAGTGTTTTTAATTCAAGTATAAAGTTGATAAAACCGAAACAATGAATAATGAGTAATCAGTATGGTGATAAATAAAAGTGTTTATTTATATTCATAGGGTTTGATACCATATTTGATTCATTTATTCTTGTGTTTCACTTTGCATGTTTTGACTTCCAGAATAACTAAGTCGCTCTTCCTGAATGATTAAGTTATTCAAACCATCCACAGTCGGTCATATGTTGGAAGTAGATATGAATCAAGACTGTCATGGGTTGGTTTGTAGAGGTCCAAGTTGGTGGACAAAGTGGTGCTACAACACTCATGAGTGCTCATAAGTTCTGAGTATTGGATTCAACCCACGCTTATTTGAATCACTTCATGGATTTTATCACGAGTGATCATGAGACGATAATATCTTATATTCTTAAAACCTAGAGATAGGAGTTGTTACTATGAGTTGGTTATACATTGATTGCACGAAAATGCATTGGTAACTCGATGTTATAAAACGTGCCTTTGTGTATGATTCAACAAGTAGTAGAACAAGCCATATGAGTCGAAGTTTATCCATTCCTTTTACCTTCGGATTAAAAGCGATATCTGTGGGCCCCTCGATGATTTAGCGATGACACATGTGAGTGCTTGGCCAAGCCAGGACTAATTTGATTTGTTCAATCAGTCAGTCATCATAAATCGAAAATCGGGAAACAAAAAATGGACAGAGAGAATGATTATAATCCATGTCTCAGTCCATATGATATCTAGAATGGAGGAATATATGATCCCTTATCTAATGGACAAGTCATTGACAAAGGTCAGAGTTCATCGGCAAGGTCAGAGTTCGACAGAAGCTTTTGAGAGCTACGATTGCTAGTCAGGGTTTGAAGTCATACTCAATAATAGTTTTAGACTTATCCAAGTGGGAGACTGTTGGATTAATGTCTAAGTCCATAACTATAATTGGTAAGACTTGACCCGACCCGGCATGGTCCATTTGGGTTGCATGACATCATGCATTTGGATAGACTATAATGAGATATATAACACTTAAGGTTGGTTAATATATTATAAGTTCTAATATATTAATAAGGTTATTTAATTAGTATTGATCAAGAATTAATTTGGAATTAATTAAGTGATCAAAAGGAGACTAGTTAAATATATGGGTTGATTGTGTAAATCATTCATTCTTATATATGTGGGCTTGTGATCCAAGATTCCTTATGTTGGACTAAGTCCATGGGGTGACCCATGGATACTCCATGGAGGTTAAAATCCATGGAGCATAAGGAATGGGTAAAGTTATGAGTTACATGGTGTAACCCTAATAGCCACCATATAAAAGAATCCCATGGGTCAAGAAATGGTGCACTAATGTGTGGATATGAGGGCTAGACGATTTTAAGGAGTGTTCCATTTCTCTCAAGTCATTCCATGTGCATTTGGTGTTGTGTGAACCATTTGAGGTGTCACACTTGGGGCACTAGGCACTCAAGCTTCACGGAGACAAGCTACATCAAACAAAGGTATGTATTCTATCCATTTGATTACCCAAGTATCAAGTATTGTATGCTAGATAGGGTAATACCTTGGAAAGTTCATAATTGCATGTATAATAGAGAAAACATAGATCCAAGGTATTTAGGGTTGCATGTACACTTAGGAGTGTTAGAATGCGCAAAACCCATCAATTTTATCCTAAGTGTAGATATCAAATTCTGACTGAGTGTTTTGTGGGGATTATAGCCGGAGGATTTCCGAAGTAGCAGCAGACAGAGACTTCCCGCACAGATTATCAGCAGCTACTCGTTTGAGGTGAGTTACCTTCCGTTAGCGGTGGGTCTACGGCCACAATGCCAGCCCACCAGTAGGAGTTGTATGTTAGATGATTGTCTTTGTGATATCATCTAGGTTTGCTACTACCTGATATGTTATATGCTAGCATGATATATTATATGTGATAGTAGTAGAGTTCGGTTGCTAGGACCGAAGGGTAGGTCAGACACCCCAGATACGTCTGACAGTATGTGATGATATGTTTATATGCTGGCATGATATGTTATATGTGATAATAGCAGTAGGGGGTGGAATAGTCCACGAGGGTCGGTTGTTAGGACCGACGGGTAGGGTCAGCACCCCAGAATGGCTTGACATGGGTAGGTCGGCACCCCAGAATGGCCGTACGGGTAGGTCGGCACCCTAGAATGGCTGTACCGGGTAGGACGGGCACCCCAGAATTTCCCGACAGTATGTATGCTATGTGATCATATGGTATGTGGTACGATGGGGGAACTCACTAAGCTTCATGCCTACAGTTTACATTTTTGGTTTCAGGTACCTCTTCAGCGAAGGGGAAGGAGCTGGCGCGGTAGCAGCACATCATACACACACGCATTGATTTTCCGCACTTGAGATATTCTGGGATTGTACTCTGACATGTTGCTATTATATGTTTTGGGTTTTCAGACGTGATACATTGATTCACAAAATGATATATTGTTACGTAGTTTTCTTATGAATGTTTTTATAATCAGTTAATTAAAATGAAATTTTTGGACTCGAAATTTGGGATGTTACAACTGTCCTCTTGGCATATGAGTTCTCTCTCTCGGAAAACCCATCTCCTCACAACGAAGACAACATTGTCACTCAGTCTATAGAAGAGATATCCAAAGGACTTATGCGGGTAGCCGATGAAAATACAAAGCTCACTATAAGGTTCAAGCTTGTCGTGAGTCTCTCGTCTTACGAAAACCTCGCAACCCCAAACCTTGATATGTGTCAACGAGGGAACCTTCCATGTCCACATTTCCTGAGGTGTTTTGGCAACCTTCTTAGTTGGGACTAGATTAAGGATATGGGCGGCAGTCTCTAAGGCATACCCCCAAAATGAGATAGGTAACGAAGCTCGACTCATCATTGAACGAACCATGTCCAACAAGGTTCGATTGCGCCTCTCAGCTACACCATTCAACTGCGGTGTCCTAGGCGGCGTCAATTGTGAAACAATTCCACATTCCTTAAGATAATCGTGGAACTCGATACTAAGATACTCACCACCTCGATCGGATAGGAGCATCTTTATCTTCCTGCCCAATTGATTCTCCACTTCTTGCTTAAACTCTTTGAACTTTTCAAAAGTTTCTGACTTATGCTTGATTAAGTAGATATACTCATATCTGTTATAATCATCGGTAAAAGTCATATAGAAGCGGTTTGCATCCCTTGTGGTGGATCTAAAGGGCCCACACACATCAGTGTGTATGAGATCCAATAATTCCTCACCCCTTTCACAAGTACCAGTGAAGGGTGATTTTTTCATCTTTCCAAGTAAACAAGACTCATACGTGTCATCGGACCTCTTCCAATGTGGCTCTGATTTGTTCGTTGATGTTAACTCCATCTGATTCATATTCAACATCTTCACTTAGTTATTCCTGATCCTCCAACACAAATTCTTCCTCATCAAGTTCTCTCAATCAAGAACTTCTACGATTTTGTAAAAACTCCTCGTCACCCATAGCTTCATTGGGCTCAACTTTATCCAACAATACATCATTTTCGACAATCCAATCTTGAGCCTCACTTGCATCTTTTGCTAAAAGTACTTCCATATCCTTAGTCTTCCTTTTCTTGTTATTTTCCATCAAATTTGCATTAAATTGAACAAAAACAAGATTGTTCAGTTTAGACGTCTCTAATCTATTTCTTTTCTTTGTATGTACCTACAAATTTAAATAAGCAAAAAAAAAGTTTGATAAATATACAAGTTTTGAATAAACTACTTAAAAATTATAATTAAAATTTAGTAAACTACCAACCCCTTCAAAAGTGCTCCAATTTCTTTCACACCCTGAAGAACTAGTTGTTAAAGAAAGTATCCTTGTAGCAATCTTTCTCAATTGTGGAGTTGAGACACCATAAGCTACCCACCAATTCGCTACAAGTTGAAAAAAACATTGTTAAATTTATTACTTTGGAATTTTATAAAATAAATACAATTTAAAATATATTACCCGAATCAAATTTGTCGTTGTTCACCTCACATCCTTTAATTGCAATTTCTCGACTAAATTTTTCTTGTTTACCCATGTAAACCGGCAACTCAACCATCACGATATGGTTTTGCAAAGAATGATCTCCCGGATATATTGTATCGACAAAATCAACAATCGCATCGGTCACATCAATATCATTTTGGATCTTCGGATTCTTATAAAGATAATATGGATTTAAAAGGTAAGCCGTCAAATGTAGGGTTGTATCAAGCCTACCTTTCATCCTTTTTCGAAATGATATCCATAATAGGCTCATATGTTTTTTTATTGTTGCCCAAATCATTAATAATTTCTTGTTTCGCATTTTGAATCTCACCATATACAAAACCCATTGATGGCTTTCGATCCGCATCAACCATCCGAAGAACTTTGACCAAAGGGAAAAAACCTTTAAACATAATGCTACACACCGTCCAATGTGGCATTTACCACCGTATCATATGCGGCTTTCCATTTAACGGTGTTGCTAAGTCTACATGATTCCCATTCATCGCTTGTAAACATTTGTTTTAGTTGGGCCTTTTTATCGGCCAAACTTTGCAAAGTAAGAAATGCGGAGCAAATCTCGTGACTCCCGGTCGCACAATATCTCTTTTCTTGGTAAAGTGTCTCATCATGGCCAAAGTTTTATGATGAGCATAAATAAACATCGTGAGTGTTTTTGCATGGTTGAGAATTTTCTTATACCTAGGTAGCCCACCAATACCTTTTAAAATAAATAAAACGTTAATACTACTATTAAAAATTAATAAAGAACACTAAATTATAAACTTAACACAATTAAAATTAATACCTTCAAGCATAAGATTGAGGGTATGTGTTGCACAAGATGTCCAAAAAATAGTTGGTCTTTTTTCCTTTAACAACTTGGCCGCTCTCATATTATTTGATGCATTGTCGGCCACAATTTGAACCACATTCTCGGGGCCAACTTCTTTGATGCAACTTTCAACATACTCATGTATGTGTTCACTTGTGTGAGCTTCATCCAATGATTCTTTAGATGACAAAAAAACGGTCCCCATCTTTGAATTAACACATAAGTTCATGATGCTCCTTTTCTTTCTATCAGACCATGCGTCCGTCATAATCGAGCATCCATTAGATTTATATTCGTCTTTGTATGGTGTCAACAAGTTTATTGTTCTTTCTACTTGTTTCTTTAAATATGTTTCTCCCATCTCATATCTAGTTGGAGGTGGTGCCCCACGTCCAAATTGGCCAACCGCCTCCAACATAATTTTGAAGCTATCCTTTTCAAAGGCAGGAAAAGGAATGGCACATTCATAGGCCCATCTACAAATATATTCTTTCACATGAATCATGTGTTCCTTACGAATAACTTTTGAAACATCTTGGGGGTTGATAGATCCTAGAGGCGGTGGAGCTCCTCAACAGAGTCCAATGGGTCATGCATTCTAATATCATATCTCCTAGATCCACAAATGTTGTTTTCAAAAGAATTGGTTTTGCCATCCAGAAAGGGCTCCTCAACAGAGTCCAACGGGTCATGCATTCTAATGTCATATCTCCTAGATCTACAAATATATTCTTTCACACGAATCATGTGTTCGCACCAGAGGCGGTGGAGCTCCTTAACAGAGTCCAACGGGTCATGCATTCTAATGTCATATCTCCTAGATCCATAAATGTTGTTTTCAAAAGAATTGGTTTTGCCATCCAGAAAGGGCTAGCGGCGCAGCTTGTTGCCCGTTTGCCTTCAATCGATATGTATTGAACTATAATTAAATAAAGATTATTGACTTATTTGACATATTTTCTTGTTTGCTCTTTCCCATGTTTGAAACATCTTGGGGGTTGATAGTGTTTGGAAACCGATCCATAGGCCCAAAAGAACGTTTATCCTTCTTAGAGCCAAATGAATCTTCCATCAAATCATCATCGATGGTAATGGTTTCATTATCACTACTTCTAATATTCACTTGTGCTCTTAAAGACTCATTTTCATCTACCTTCCCCTTCTTTTTATTTTGGTTATCAAGAAGAGCATCTCTACATTTTATTTGGTCATGTTTTGTGGCCTTTGGGCATGAAGAAACATTTCCCTTAATTTGTGTAATATGTTGTTTTAGTCTATTGATTCCCCCGCCCATCTCTTTATTACATAAAATGCATTTCACTCGCTCCATTTTCTTAGGATTCACACACACTGCATATTCCCATCCATGATCATTTGATTTGCGTTTAAGATTCTCTTGAGCTGAAGTTGATCCCGTAGACGGTGTTGTTGTGGTTGATGTCATTACTTCAGTTAGAAATTTATCTAACACAAAGTGAGTTAGTGAGTCTAAAACACACACACATTGTTTTAGAAAACAAAATAATATCATATTGTCAAACAAAGTGATAAAACAAAATAACATACAATCATATTACATACTATGATACTATTAGTCTATTACACAGAAAGTGATAAAACAGAATAATATACAACTAAAACAGGAAAAAAAATACATACAAACTGTGAAATCTGAATTCTAAAACAGGGACAATCAGATACATATCCATTGCCACTTGTAAAGAAATCACGAAATAAATACACTGATACACACAAACCGACAATCTTAAGGTAAAAATGAGAAACAAGGACAGAGTTCTTGATGAAATACATAGTGATTAGTGGGAGTAACAGTAGGACATTGTGGGAGTTCTTAAATACAAAAAAACCAAGCTCTTGATGAAGAAATCTGAAATCCACAGCGAGATAGAGTAACATTGTAACAGTAGAGATATAGAAATCCAAAATCGAGTTCTTGAAGAAACAGGAAAAATGAGAAATAGGGATAGATATACAAACTTAAATAAAAAAAACTGAGTTAAGAAGAAATCCAAAATCAACACAGCGAGATACAGTGAGAGTAGGAGAGAAAGAACCTCGATCGCTAGTGGAGGATATCTCCAGTGCACAATCACGATTCACGACTCAGGAAGACAGGAAGTCAGGAACACAACATTGATATTCATTGCCTCATTGGTATTGCTATTCGCTGGTAGCCTGGTGCCCTGGTATCACGATTCGCCAGTAGAAGAGAAAGACGAGAGAGGATTAGGGAGGTCAAATTCTCGTAGAACAGATGGGGGGAACCAAATTTGGGAATGCCGCTTGTTTTTTTAGGTTTTAGGGTTGTTTTTTTCAAAGTCAAAAATAAGTTTTATTGGGTTGTCAATTTTTGCCCTCGTTGACCGACTTTGAATTTGTTGACCGAGTTTGACTTGTTGACCGAGTACCCCGAGTAAGATCGAGTTGGAGCGAGGTTGACCGAGTTTTGACCGTGTTTTGACCGAGTTTTAACCGAGTTTGACTTAATCGGATTTTTTTTGCCGAGTCGACACTACTCGCCTCAGTAGATGGCCGATTCCGAGTACTCGGCCGAGCTGTCCGATTTTTGCAACACTGCCTGTATCAAGGACCCAAGAAATAGCATGTGATGAGTTATTAGATCGAATAGTGTAAATACCTGCGAAGGTGGGCTTTATCTTCCCATCCTTGATGTCTTGTAGATATTTGGGGCAACTTCGTTTCCAATGCCCTTTGTCGTGACAGTGGAAGCACTCTGCATCCTTCGGATTGGAAGAGGGAGCAGCAGAACCACCTTTGGTCCCACTAGAAGAGGATCCATCATGGGACTTTCCCTTGTGGATCTTAGAAGGAGCCTTGCTCTTCTTCCCTTTCCCATGTCCAATTGCCAAGACAGGGGCAGCAACAGTAGAAGTTGATGCAACAGACTTGCCTTTCAAACTACTCTCAGCAGTTCGCAGAAGGCGTTGGAGCTTGCTTAGAGTGACCTCCTCCTTGTTCATATGATAAGTCATACGAAACTGATCATAACAAAGAGGCAGAGAGTGTAGGATGATATCTATGGCCAACACTTCGTCGAAGTTGACATTCAACTTCAACAAGCGGTCCACAAATCTATGCATCTTTTGTAAGTGGGTCATGATGGACTCTCCATCCTTCGTCTTTGTAGTAATCATGGAGGCGATGATCTCGTACCTTTCCTGCCTCTCACTTTGATGGTACTTTTCCATCAAATCTTGGTGCATCTCATAGGGATAGTATTCCTCGTAGGATTTCTGGAGTTCGGCAGTCATGGTTGCAAGCATGATACACGACACCTTTGTCGTGTCCCTCTCATGAGCATCATATTGAGCGATTTGCTCAGGAGTAGCACTGTTGTGGTCAATCTCTTTCAGCTCCTTTTCGAGAACATACTCTTTGTCCACGTAGCGGGTGACCATGCGAATGTTGCGAATCCAATCGTTAAAATAGGATCCATCAACGATCACCATCCCACATAAGTTCATCAGGGAGAAAAGAGCAAGAAGGGTTGGAGCCAGAAGCGTTGTGGTTTGAGGTAGACATCTGAAAAAGAAAAGAGACAAAGTTTAGATTAGATAAGAATCCTCAATTTAACACCCAAATGAAAAATTAGGGCTAGGACCCAACACAATTATTTGCAATTCAGAAAAGGGATGCCGTAATCTAATTGCAAATAATTTGAATGTAGGTAAATGACGATTTACCAATTTCCACCATGAAAAACGAAAAAGAATAATAAGTCTTAAATGAATTGAAATTCCTAGATTCTTTTGAGATTCATTGAACTTTTCAATGGCATGTTTAAATCTCGATTATGCCCTTCAAGTTTTTGACTGGGATACCGAGGATCACAAACAAGGTGTGAATAACCATGCAAATGTGTTTGCTACTCTCGATGTCATTTATCACCTAATCAATGTGTCGGTTAAGCACACACGCTCCATTAATCTATGATAAACATCGAGCTACCGTTTGCCACCCTTGCTAGTCCAAAATTAATGTGTCGGTTAGCCATGCACGCTCCACTAACGACTTGGCAAGGTGCAAAGTGCAATTTCATGGACTAACATCATTTTCACATTTTTTCTAAAGTAACTAAGATTGGGAATTTATGAAAACATTTAGTTACTTTATAAAATCATTATACTTATTAATGAGTAATTAGTTTGTCCTATCATACCCGTTCGGCTAACGACCCTCCACTAGTCAAGAGTGCGGTGGGTAAGAGTGTATACCCAATGACGGTCATTTTATAGGTCGCTTCCTTAAACACCCCTTATAGACCAGCTTCGTGAATGAAGCCTACTAATGGTAAGACTGACTCGTCTTATACATATATATATTATTATTCTTTTAATATTATAGTAGTATAAGGGTGTATTTTAAACATTTCAAAATATTAGGGTTTTAATCAAATTTAAAATTTTCGAAAATTAATACCTTTTAATTTTAAAATCTTAAATATTAAAACTTTGATTTAATAATTATCCAAAATTAAAAAATTAATTTAAAATATTAAATCTTAAAGGATTATCTATTAAATTAAACAATTAATTTAACCTAATCCCTTTATCCTCTAGATTTCGAAAATTTGGGATGGGATAATTCAAAATCTTTAATTATCTACTTAACCAAGTAAAAGCATAATTACCAAAGATAACATTATCCTAATCCCTAAAATTTTGGAATCTTATCTTGGGGTGGAAGGTATTTTCGAAAACCCTAGGGTTAACCAACCCTAAAATCGAAAATATGAGGCCAAAGGAAAGGGTTCAAGAAACCCTAACAAATTTCGAAAACTAGGGTTTTGAAACCCTAATTTCGAAAATCCAAGCCCTAGGGTTTATTTTCCATAAACCCTAATTTGTCAAATTCATACTTTTGTATCAAATCTAATTGAAAATAACAACCAAAGTCTCTGATACCACTGATGGGTTTTATAAAAACAATTTTATGTGTGCATGCAACCCTAGTTTTGGATCTATGTTTTCTCTATTAGACATACAACAAATGAACACAAAAGAAAACCTAGCATGCATCTACTATTTTCGAAAATTGCAAATTAAAGATTAGAATGTATACCTTTGTTGCTATGTAGTAATAACAACTAGGTTCTTGAATTCCGTTTGCTCTTGAGAACAAGTACCACATATGTAGTACCTCTAATGGCTCACAAACACACTTGAGTGAGAGGATGACTACGAGAAAGAGGAGAGAGGGTAACTTGCTCCAAAAATCGGCTCTTCTAGGGTTTCTCCAAGGGTTGGACGAAATCCAGATCCTAAGGGGTCTATTTATACTTGAGCTAGTTAGGGTTTCAGGGTGGAAACCCTAATTCCTTAGCTTAGGGCCTAAGCAAGTCCATGGACCTCCTTTCCTTAGGCCTAGGACGAAAACTCCTAGATCCTTCTAGGATTTTCGTCCTATCCCTAATAATGGTGATCCAATGGCCCAAAGCCTCAACTATCAAATAATTACAAAACAGCCCCTGTATTTTAATCAGTTCCTTTAATCCCAAAATTAATTCCAAATTAATTTCTGATTAAACACTAATTAATAATATGATTCATAATTAATATATTATTCTTATAATATATTAATAAATCATATTTATGCCCCAATTTATCATTTTTAATAATAAATCAACCTCTCTCCTTAATAGTCATCCTGTCTAGTCACCAGTGTGAAGGCAACCTAAAAGGACCGGCACGACACAGCGCGACGTAAATAGTGAATTTACGTTAGAGCGATATTTGGCCTTAGCGATCTAAATGAAATTCGTAGAATACGTTAAACCGAGAGCGTGGATAAAAAGAACGTCTAAATCTGACTTCGTATGAGGAAGTTATGATTTTTCGTAGCGATATTTAGCCAAAACTTTCTAAATGAGAATTGAAGATCTCATCAATAGTAGTCCAACGATAAAAAGACAGACGAAAACGGAGTTCAGATGAAGGAGTTATGAATTTCGAACGGAGTTTTCCTGTCCCGGCCTACTAAAAATAATATATTAATAATATATTAAAATTAAAGTCAAAATTAGCCAACGGAGTCTAAACGAGAGTTGTAGAGCATAATCTCACCTACACGTGGATATAAAAAACGTCGAAAACGGAGTTCGTATGCGAAAGGTATGAATTTCTGAAGTTTGGGGCGCGAAACCCCAAAACTGTCAAAGTTCACGACGTGAATACAATGTTCACGACATGAACTCAGTATTTATGACTTCTGGAGCCTAACAGACGCAAGTGGTGATGACGCACCTGATGACTATTGAATTCACGACGTGAGAACTTAAAATTCACAACGTGAGAGCTGAAAAATGACCCTATAAATAGAAATCGAGGGTCAGCCGATTTTGGTTGCTCAATCTCTTCTCTTCGACTCCCGATACTCTCTCTAAGCCCTATTTTAACCCCCCAA